CGAAGGTTTGGACGATAATTGAGAGCAGCTCAGGGACTCAAGATAATTCTGGAGATGGGGAGTGTATAGGCAGCCACCATGAAGGACTACGAGACGAAGCTGAACAAGTTCTACGAGTTCGTCGCCTTCTACCGCCTGCCCATGGCGACCGAAAAGGAGCTGGACGTAGCGCTGTCCGACTACGCGGACGACTTGTTCTTGAATGGGGAAGATTCCAGCTATAGCCAGAAGCTTCAGGCGGCACTGGAGTTTTGGAGACCGGAGGCGGCTCGAGAGGGCAGCCTGAGGCTCCCCAGATTCAAAAGGGCGCTCAAGGGCGGCGTCGTATGGCGCCCAGCCAATTCAGGCTCCCTATGATCGAATACGTGAAAAGTTCGGTCTCTGGAATCCTGCTTTGGAACGGCCAGAAGGAGATGGCAATCTTCAACGAGGTGACCTATTCGACCTACCTCCGGCCCGGAGAAGCTCTCAAGCTAAAGGCAGTGGACTACGTTCGTCGTGCTGGCGCCCCGACCGGGTACCCGCACTCCATCCTGGTCTTGGCCCCATTCGAGAGGGGAGAGAGCAGCAAGACAGGGATTTTCGACGAGGTAGTCATCTTGGACGACACCAGGGAGATGTGGCTGGAGCAGGTCTTGGACCGACATATCAATCAGCGCATCCGCGTTCACGGCGAGGATACAGATCTCTGGGGCTTCAATGCAAAGCAGTATCTTCAAGAGTGGCGCAAAGCAGTGGAGGCGCTACAAGTCCACGACTTCGCCACGAGCCCCTATCAGAACCGTCATGGAGGGGCGAGTCGCGACCACCTATTACGCCTGAGGAGCGTGCAGAATATTCAAAGGAGGGGGAAGTGGGCTACCGACTCTTCGGCCCGTATCTACTACAAGCCAGGCAGGCTGCAGCAGATGGTGATCCGCCACTCGAAAGGGCGGATTTTGGCGAACATATTCGCAATCACTTCCTGGACTTGTACCTCAGCAACACGTGCCAGCTCCCTGCAGCGCTCCGCAAGCAGGTTGCGAAGCTTTCACAGGCAGGACCATGCTGAGTCTTTTTGGTGGCGTGTCTGAAGTAGCCCAGGCCTTCGTCAGAGGTGGAAGCGCTGCATTCGTTAAAGATTTAGCTCACTCTCCAAAGAACGATCTCTCTAGGCTGTCGGCATGGGCCTCAATCTGCAAAGCCGTTTCCAACTTCGACGTGCTGGGTATTGATATTCCTTGCAATACCCGGTCTAGAGCACGCAGAGCACCGAAGGGTTCAAACATGCCACAGTCTCTGAGAGGCGATCTGCCCGACACAGTGCTAGGACTTCCAGGGCTTCGCGAGCTAGATCGTGAAAAAGTTGTACGTGCCAACAACATGCTTTATGGAGCATACAAGCTGATCCGCAAGTGTCTGCGGCTGGGCATTCCTGGTTACATAGAGAACCCTGTGAGTTCCCGTATCTGGAAAACCCGTCAAATGCAACGCCTGCTCCAGGACACCCGCGTCCAGCTCGTGAAAACGGACATGTGCATGTACGGAACCCAATGGCGAAAGTCTATTGCCTTACTGCTCTGGCTTTGCAAAGATGCGCATTTCTTGAGGTGTCATGGTTCAAGTGTTTGCGAGCGTACCTCAAGGCCGCACCTGCAGCTTACGGACATCCAAGGCAACAAGTTCGTTACAGAGCTAGCGCAAATTTATACTCGTCCTTTTGCTGAAGAACTTATTCGGTATCTGCGCTGACTATTTGTGGCCCACCCTCACCATCCTGAGCCATTTTGGACATGGAGGTGGGAATCAGTGTGACCAGAGGTCATACTAACGAGCAGCGAGCTCAAATTTCCCCGGAGGTGATGTTCTCGCTGAGCAGCTCGTTGTCTACAAATCGTCATGCTGAGTGCGTGCACAAAAGTATGCGTAGGAGATGCGTCTAGTTTGGAAGCCGTAAGCATAATAGATATGCGACTATTCCGAATAGGAGCGATGAATTTAAGATATGATCTATAGAATTAATGATATATCGTTCTTTGTATATTCGTCTCGATAATTTTACGATAGATGTAGTGGATTATTAGGTAAATTATGATATTTTTAGCAAAAATTCTAATTTTAATAAAGGCAATAATAAGACTAATGATTAGTCGACGATATAAGTTCTTATAGTGAGGATTAATATCTAAAGATAGTATGAATTAATGCCGGATAGTTCTATATATGAAGGTTATCGATTCGTAAAGGATTTATAGGTGTAGTAAGATAAATGAGCGTATGAATGAATGAATGAATGTATATATAGAAATGATCGTATAGTCTTCTAGAGACAGCTTTTGATTAGATAAAGAATTTTCCGGATTGCGCGCGCCTTGAAATTCGCGTAGCATCTAATATTATAGATCTTTCTAGAGACGATATTCAAAGGCTTCTTTAGGGCGCGCGATTTCGAATTCAATCTTCTAGAGATAGAGACTTTTCCGGACGGGGAAGCGTCTTGAACCGTACGGTATCTCAAAATGCGGACGATATTTATTAGGAACGTATATTTAGGAACGTTTAGAAATTTCCGGAGGTCGTGCGTCTCGCGGCATCCAGCAAATTTCTCTAGAGAAGGTATTTAAAGTTTTCCGAAGAAGGTTATCTTTCTATATATATATATATATATGTGTGTAGAATGTGCAGCCTTTCTGTATATATATAGGTCGACGACGAGTCAATGATGAATGAATGATGATGATGAATAAATAGAGATGATGAATGATAGTGATGATAGCGTATATATATATATGGAGGTAAATGAGGATTATGAAGAAGAGAAGAAGGACGAGGAGGCGGGATAGTTCAAAAATAAAGGAATATTTTTCATGATATGGGGAATAATATATTGAAGAATTATAGATCCTGCCGAGGATTTCGATATTTCAAGCTGGGATTTATTACATCATTCGTCGATTTTTTGAAATATATATTACCAATAATGAATTTTATAATTCAGATCTTAGATTTCTAGTGCCGAGGATTCCTATGAAGCGTCATATATGATAATTTTTTATAAAATATCGTGATCCGAAATATTATCGATCTCGTTAGCACTTCTGGCACTTCTCATATGTCGGGATAAAATATGACTAGTAAGTGTCGGTCTTCTTGTATTTCAATTTTTCGGTTCAAGACGTGCTGAAATAATCAAGATAGCCGACGTAATATTCGTTTATATCAAATATAGCAAGTAGTCATAAAACATTTTTTCTATAATTCGTGCCGTAAATGATATACATATCCCAAATAATGATATCTATTCTTTATCCTAGTCCGCAATATCGATTACGGTCATCCTCGAAAAATCTTAGATTTTCTATTTTTTAAACCATCGGAACTATTGAAATGAAAAATTATTATTCTGCGCTTCGATACCAATATGAACGCGCGAAGATATTCTATTATTTCAAATACCTATCATCACATATCCGATATTTCGTGAATACGTGAAACATTTATATTTATCATAATTTTTATTATTATCGCCGAAACTAATATAACGTACGAAATTCTATCTATCATTTATATCGTATTTTATATCTTTCTTATTCACGAAATATCATTAGTATCGATATAATTGATATTTCTTTGATATATGAAGTGTTCGAAATGCTTTTCAATTAATAGAACCATTTTTTCGAAACGAACGCATTATGATTTAAGCTAAGAAACGCCCGAAATTCAAGATTTTGCCGCGACCGTCACTATAAATATTAGGGGAGGGATCCATTATTTCCAGAAGGGGGCGTATAGCAAAATTATATAATCTTAATATTCTTATTTTGATAGGGAAGAGATAGCCTAAACCCCCCAGCGCGTATTTCATAACAATTTTCTTTCAAATTAAAAATTTTCTTGGAATAGTGCCAGTGAATAGGCATTTTCTTCTCAAATTGGTTTCAACATATGAAGCATGATCTCCCCTCACCATTCGAATCATAATCATATGACTTGATAGATTATCTTAAAAAGGTCACGATTTTTTGGCATGCGACCGCTCGACGAAGTTCTGTAGAATACGACTTGAGAGTAATGAATATAAATTGTCAGAGGGAGCTGTACACATGTCCACAGCCAGCGCAACACCTCATTTGAGGTTAAGCTCCGGGTGTCCACGGGCTCAATTCTTGAATTCGATGTGAGTTGGATTCCCTGCAGGCTCCTGCGTAAAGTCACAAGCCTACGGCGCTGCATGCTTGACTTTGGTTCGCAAAACATTGGGAGCCGAATGGCCAATATTCAAACCATCACCTCTCTTGTTGACTTCCAAAAGCCGCCTGTACAACAGTAACCTTAAAGAGTCTCTGTGGCAGAGAGCAAAACGCCACTACCGTTTAGGAAGTGTAGGTGGGAGAACTGCTGCACGTCTTCCCATCAGCAGGGCTGCCTGCGACGGGAGGCGGGAGGCACTCTCTGTCTCTGCTAATTCATTGAACGCCGTCAGGCTTCATGCTGCTGCGAGGCAGCCAGCTGAAGCTGCAGCTGCCAGAGGAGGCCGTGAAGACGAATGCGAAGTCTATACAGGTCCAGGACCACCCCGCCTTTGCCTGTGCACCGGCAAGGTCGGAGCCTGGGCGACTGGGTTTGTCACAGCAAGCTTCACATCGATAGAACTTGCATGCAAGCACCCGCAATAAGATACAGACTACTCTAGCATCCCTTGTGAAGTCTTCGGTACTGTAGCATCCCTTGTGCAGTCTTCGGTACTCTAGCATCCCTTGTGCAGTCTTCGGTACTCTAGCATCCCTTGTGCAGTCTTCGGCTGAGCACATTGAGCAAACATGTTGCCTGCGCAGGTCGAGTTGCTACATTCTTTGAGCAGGCTGTGTCCAGCACGCCGGTCAGAGCAAAGCGTGGAGGTCCAAATTTTCAGGCAATCGTGTATGTCTCGCTTGTGTGGGCATGAGCCAACTATCTGTCTATCTGTCCACCTACCCACCTACCAACCTGCCTACCTACCTGCCTACCTACCTGCCTACCTATCTGCCGATCCATCTAAGTATATATCTTGACATGAGATCAGTACGGGACACCGAACTGTGAAGCACGACTTCGTGGCAGAAACACTGGATTTGAGCTGAGGCACAAAGCTGATCCAAGCGCTCCACCTGCTGTCTTTCGACCTCGGAACAGACACTCCAAATCCACTGTAAAATGCACGGCCCAGTGAAAGCAGGCAACTAACTGCTCGGCCTGGAACTGCCTTGTGGGTGGGCAAAATCGAAGGGGAAGCGCCCGGCCATCGCCCACTGCCTCTCTCGATCTCTCTCGGAGAGTACCAGGAACATAAACCAGCGATGTGTGATTTTTGAGGCTGGCGCTCGAACCTGTGGCTTTTGTAGGCACTTAGCACATCCTCGAACCTTGTCTGTCAGGCACAGTTTCGTCAGCCAGTCTGCAGTTGGGACAGTGAGGGTCAGTTGCATTGAGGACAGCGCGGCATCGACGTCCATTGACACAGACTTGCAGAGAGCTCCAGTGCTTCGGCTCCTGCATCCCAGAACTCCCAGGCCAGCTTCAAGGTTCGTCAGAGCACGCAATGCACAATTCAAATACTGGGGCCTAGCGGAAGCTTTCACTCAAATCCAAGCACTGTCAGCTCCTCAACTGTTGCACCGGCCGTGTGGCTTCCTTGCACACTGCTTCTGCCCCCTGGTGCAGCCAGGGAAGCAACTGGATCCAGTTGTCTTGGCGGCCTTCCAGCCTGACTCTCGGCAGTGTCCCGTCGAGTGCTGTCCTGCTTCGGGTCAATGGGTTCGCGGTTTGCCCCGCAAACAAAGACTTGCTCCTTGCCCCACCTCCTCTGGCACACCACAGGGCATGACTGGGAAGGCGCCGCTGGACTGCAGCTGCTCTGCACACCGGAGCACAAAATTCAATTCCTCCAAGGCATGTTTCGGATCCTCATCTCTACTCCTTCATGAACCCCCGAACGTGCACATGCAATCCGGATCCTGGCAGGGATTCTGAGATACACGGATGCCGGTGGCGCCGCAGTAGAAGAACTCTTCGTGAGACGCAGGGTCCAGGAGAGGGCCTGACCACAAGCAATTTAAACTAACTCCCGGACACAGACTGACAGACTTTTGGCCTGTCCAGCATTCCCGCAGGCTCCTCACCTGATCGCGTGCGAGGTCGCGCCATGCAGTACCATGAAGCAAGCCATGCATGTGTATCCTGATGAGACTGGGGTGGCTGACCTTCCTTCCCAGGTCCTTGGTTTTGCTACCTGCCATCAGGGGTTCAGGCTTGTGTTACAGATGTTCTTGGTCGGGATGTGTTTTCAGGTCTGTCAAGTGATCGCTTTGAAGTCTTCGTAGCAAGCTGCATAGGGCAGGAGTTTTGGCAATATGCTGTGGAGCAGCCGGTCGGATTGCCCTGGCCTAGGTGCTTGGCCATCTGCTCTGCGCAAGTTGGCCGCAAGCGAGCCCAGATGACACACCAAGCCTTAATCACGTTGGACACTTGCACAAATTCAGGAGTTTAGGACATGGAAATAAGCTTATCCAGTCATTCAAGTCCAGTGCTGCACAATTCCTACGGGACTGCCCTTGCCTGAAATGCGGCCTTAGAAGCCAAGCTCACGAAGTGCGACAACTGAGGAGGAGTGTCGGAGAAGATACCTAGTCAGGCCATCGATTGTAAAGAAGACGTTGGTTGGTCACGTTCATTGACAAGCTTAGAGCCGGAGACTGTGTGCGTGCGATCCACCGTCCACATCCAAAGGCAAGACAGTCCGAAGCCTTCTGGTCCGACATAGACTGGCTCGCGCAAGCACCCGTCCTTGCCTCAGGGTCTGAAAGCTGTGTTCGACTCGAATCGGGTTGCCGTGAACAAGGGCCAGTGCTTAAGCAAGCTGCATAGTTTGTTGTTTTCACGGTCCCCGTTCGATGGTTTCAGCCTGCTCTTCACTGTTACGGAGTGGCGCTAAGGTTGCGGCAAGGGTTAAGCTTTACACGCCCAATTTCCGAACTCGAGGTCTCATGGTGGGCTTATGCTTCGGCCGGTGAGGTCATAGTCGCTGCAGTACGTGCAGTAACTGTCTTACGGAGTACATAGTTAAGCGACTGCGGAACTCCGATTTTGCAACCAGAGGCCGAGGGCCCCGCGTGGCCTCCAAACCTTCCGCCAGTTGGCTGGCAACGGGCACCTTGACCCCCAGTTTGTCAAGTTTAAGTGGTGCTGTATCACCACTGAAAGCCACGCACCCACACAAGTACCCACATCTGTTGAGGACTACGCTGCTTCACAGCTGGCCACTACCTGTTTCTACTTCGTTGTTTCACGGCATTCTCGGATGCTTGATGCTCCTGGGATGTTGCCAAGCTGCTGGAGGATGCACTCCGCAAGCCAACCGACCTGCGGATGGCGCACCCCGTTTCGCTCGTCTTCTCTGGCACTTCTGCACAGCTGTCCACGGCTGCCGCAGCAGCAGACTCCCTAAACACCGCCCTTTCGTTGGACAGGCAGACGATACCCTTTGCAAAGAGCGGGCATGTGGGGATTTGAGCTCGGTGGCACCCTGCCACGAGCACACAAGCACACAGACACACACACACACACACAGACACACACACACACAGACACACACGACAACCAAACTTGGAGCGCCAGTGTGTGCAAGTGTTCGCGGCATGCACAGGTGCAGTCACCACATTGAGGACGGGTTCAAGCTTCGGCCTCTGGAATGCGAGGGGGCTTCGAAGTGCTACCGGGTGCTCAGGCCACTTCGTGTTCAACTGTTGAGCTGGCATCAAACAGCTTCGGCCTCCAAGCAACCGTCGAGAGAGCGGAAGAAAAAAGACAAGCTTTCGAAAGCGTGTACCGGAGCCTCATACGGACACAGACAGACACATCTGAGCAGAGACGGCTTACAAAGAAAGAGAACCCAGAACTAGGCTTCGACGGTGTTGGAGGGCTGCTACTGTTGCGGCAACGACGTTGCCAAATTTTGGCGGCCAAACCCCGACGGCACACCGCGGTTGCCCTAGATTGGAAGAAATATCAGAAGAATATCAACTTCAATGCTGTAAACTGTCTATACGAGATCTCTGGTTGCAAACGCCCTGATATGGAGCAAAACGAAGCCAAGTTAGAAGACGGCGAGAGCAGGAGAGACTGAAGGCACAAGTACGTGTAGAAGCAGTGCACGCCGGAACCGACCAGCTTCAAGCACACTTCACGAAGCCTCGGCGCAAGCTGCTTGGATATCTCGCCGCAACTCAAGGGATATTGACCCTTGATACCTCAAGGCGCACTGCCCTCAGCATAAATGTTTGCATTACGCATCGAATGGTTTCCAATGACGACTGATGGGTGCAACTGCGCAGTGGTAGACTCAAGACCACGTGCAAACAAAGAGTGCGCTGTCGGGAGTATCCAAAGCTTGCAGGCCGTGGGTGCGATCGTGCCGTGCGCTTGGCAGGAGCAAGCAGAAAAGCTTGTGTCAAAATGAGAAGCCTGATGATGCGGCGACCCCGCCAATAGGACCCCACTTCAGGCTTGCACTACCTCAAGAAACTTTCATCATCTGCTTGCAGTTGAGCCGCACTTCTCGAACGAGAGCGTCTGCCACATGCTCCAGCTCCTGGCATCAAGCTCAGCAGTCGCAGTCCATTCGTGCCGCCATGACACGCGAGCAGAGGTAACTGTGAGCTAGATAAACATTCAATTCGCTCGCTGCAACAGCAACATATTCCGGATATTCGTCGAGAGCCCTGCATGTGCGAGAGGCAGCCTCTGAAACACCCGGCTATACAAAGCAATTGTCAATGCAGGGCTTCTCCTGATTGTGTGGTAGGCGATTGCGACAGAGCTCGCCGCGCTGAGCATGGGGGCCCTGTCTGGTTTTGGGGGTGTAAAGTGGAAGACAGCAAGCAGTGCAGCCTCTTTTGCCCTCCTACCCAGCAGGACGAGCCCGCAAGTACAGCGTCTTGATTTGATGCCTTCGAGTACAGTCTAGCGCCAGACCGACCCCCGCCCTTAGAAGAAGTATGGCCTCTGCCTGCGTCAGGAAGCTGCGTGGACTCCGCGTGGCTTGTTCCCAGACCGGTGACACAACGACGTAGGGCAAGTTTCTCACATCTGTTTCGGCATGCATCCAGAGCTCAGACTCGAAAGTTGCCATTTTTGTGGCGACATGTCGCCAGGCAGACACTCACTAAGCGCCAAACGTGGCGGGAAGCAAGCCGGCTATGCCGCGAGGTCAAAGCGAATTATGGCGTCCTTTGGACAGCCCGTCTTCTGTTGAGACACCACAGTCACACGGTCGCGACCGGATGCTTCGTTGGCTGTTGTGGGGCAGCTCTGCGACAAAGCACTCTGCGCTCAGAGACATCTTAGCCAGCTGTTACCGACAGCCGCTTGAAGCACCTGTGACATTTCTTCGCACCACAGGCGGAGCTTCTCACAGTGTGAAAGTTTAGCCTTGAAAGGTAAACTTTCGCTGCCCATTCATTCTGAGATCACCTTGGGAGAAGCACCAATAATGCACGCTGATAACGCACCTTGTGCAGCTATGTCTTCGACCCTGCAGCAAGGCTGTACAGAATGGGGTGGTAAGGACTCTGCTTCTGCATGTATGTGGCATACTTATCTAGGCATCGGCTCAATGCTGTTACTCTGGTGGCATCTCATTCAATTTGTCGGTGGCTTCTTCCTCAAGCAGCTGACTCCAAACGGTATCGTCCACCTGGATCAAGCCAAGCTCTGACAGAACCTTGGCAGGTATACGGCTTTGCAGCAGCTCACTCTACTTCGATTTGCTCCTGCCTTGAGACGTCGCTGATCCAGCTGTTTAAGGTCTTGGCCGCTAGGATCTCGACCGGTGAAATCTTGACATGCTCCTCCAGGTACTCGTAAGCCTGGCAAGATTGCGCGGTAACCGTGGCTGACACCTGTTGAGTAGCATATCGGATGTTGAAACATTGCGGAACACCTCTGACGTTCTAGTGCACTCTCTTGGACAAACTCTCGTGAAAACAGCTTAGCTGGCTTAGCTGCCATGCTGAATCACAGCCTCAGGTTGAAGTTTTCCTTCAAGAGGCTGCCCGGCAAACCATAGAACTCTCTGCAATACGCTTTTACGATGGAGCTCAAGGTGGAAAGCGCCAAATATGTCATAGGCTGAAAGAAGGTGCTGAAGAGTGGCGATAAAACCCGATACATAACTATGCATCTGGTGGGTTAGGCTCACCCAGAACGAGCCACGCCGACAGCTAGAGAAGCATCACCTTCACTGTCCCTCAATGCTTTCTACCGAGCCCCAACCTAGCGGTGGAAGGACTGGAGGCAAAGAGCTGTAGCAAGGTCTTGCCCAGAATCCAGGATAGTGCTTTCAAACAGAGCTACAGTGACTGGTTATCGGGTGGCAGAAGCCTACGCATGGATTTGGTTCCAAATGTCCAGGATCCAGCCAGGGAGCCGCTTCCTCAATACTGTCCATTTGGTCGAGCTCCTGCTCAGAGTAGATCTCGCGGATGTGCTTCTCGGCTGTTTGCTCCATGTGCTCCTTAGCAACAACGGAAAGCGCTCTTAATACTGATCCTTTGCCAACCATGAGCAATATCTCAAATTCAGCAGTTTTGGATCAGCCCTAAACTATCCTTTTTGTTGCTATGGGACTCAAGTCTAGCCAGACGAAAACCTGCAACAATCTTCAACAACAAACCCTAAACGATCCCAACCCCTTTGCAGGACGGACTGGGCCAGTGTCCCTTTGCAGCAGGCTTCTCTCACCCGGAACAGCTGTCGCCGCGAAGCAGCGCAGCACCCGTGACTGCGAAGCCCCGCACAACTTTGGGCCAGTGTCCTTTTACACCTGAACTTCGCATATGCCAGGAACCGAGGCGCCAGTGTCCTGTTTTTGCAGCAGGCCTCGTTGTCCAGCAGCCCGGTTACAGCAAGAGCCCCCCCTTTCCCCCGCTGTGTCCTAAACCCTGAACGTCGAACCACCGAGGGGCCATTTCAGGATTATTCGCCACGTTTCCAGGGTCGAAAGCAACGCAATACGGCATTACTTGTAGTCGGTACAGCCAGGACAAGCCTGACGGGGTGACTCAGCCGCAAAGTTCGCCGTCGCCTGGAACGTGCCATCCAGGCGGGTGCAGAAAACTCTTCAGTCAGAGACTCCCTAGAGATGCTCGGGAGATGTCGGGAGCAAAGACACAAACGCATCAACTTGTGGCACTTGCACCTTTCGGAACCTTCGGAACCTTCTGCGCCCAGGAACAGAAAGCTATAGTACGAGCTCGGCAAGCTGCGAAAAATTGTGAAAAGCTGCAGCTCGTTGCGTGGGCAAAGCCGCCATGAACGCAAGTACTGGAGCTGCCTATGATGGTAAATCTGGGGTCGGCGACGTACCGTGCACCGGCCCGAGCCACGAGCTCGGTCGATGAAGGATCCGACGGTCAAACAGTGGAGGGCCGGCCGCCGTGTCGCATCAAGCGAATCAAGTCTGCCGAGAAGGCAGCCGGGGCCATGGCGAGAGTGGCGGGCGGCGAACAGGGAGTCAGGGAGCGCGAAAACTGCACAACCGTGAATTTGTTGCTCATTGGACGGACGGTGAGGCAGGCTTCTCTGGAGTGCAACATTGTGATGAGCCTGTCGGTGTTTCTATGGTGGCAGCAACTCTCACCACGAGAGCACTGCACCAGAACATACCTAGCGACACCAGCGGCTACTGGCCCAGACGGCCATCAGTCCATGAGCTTCACAGAGATCTCATACAGTTCTGGTTTCAGAGGTCGCTTAATGTTGCGTGCAGACAGGCAGACAGTCAACGAAAGCCGCCCGGATTGGGTCAAGATTTTGGCAAGAATCCTATCATTGAAACTCCCAGATGCGGGTTATCTTAATTTTTGGGGACTTCGCAACATACTCGATCCGACATAGCGAGGCCCCAGTTGAATGCATGCCCACCGTGCATTTCCGCATGCAGTGCGCGATTGAAAATCGGGAATTTGACATAGCTCCTCGTACAGATGAGGCACGAGTCCAGGTTGTGAACGCAGTGTCCATTCTCTTTGCGAGACCATTCAATGGGATAGGCTCGAGAGACTAGGAGAGCGGATTGAACTGCAATTGTGGGGGTTTCACACTTGACCCTAAGTGGCCTGTGGGGCCTGGTTCCCAAGGCCTCAGAGTCTAACAGGGCTTCGCACCTGGTTTTGCACCATGCTCAAGGGCCCCAATGTGCGCGGATGCATAGCATCTGGCCACAGCAAAACACGGAAAGATTGCATGAACGACCACATTCCCGTCCGGTGTCTTTTTTGAGCACTAGATCCTCTGGAAGACGCCCCTTTGCCGTTCCGCGAAAACGGCTTGGCGCCCAAACGTCTCGCGTACGAGCCACAGCCCAATCCCAGACCCCACTCTTGAATCCGAAAACATTTTGCCATGCTTTCGCAAAGGAAGCAAGCGCGCTGCATCCTCAGGAGCCTGAATGCCTAAAGCTTTGCACAACCTCTGCTACATGGCCGGCTGAAACAAAGTTGCACACTCGGGACGCACAGCACCGGGCTTCCACACCGAACGAATCCTATGCAAAAGCGAGAAGACGGCGACGGCTCAAGCTGCAGGCAAGATTCCTGGTACTTGTCGCAAGCCTGCCAAAGCGTGGTCAAGGCGAGTTTCAGGGACGCGTGCTGCGAGCTTGCTGAAACAAGGTGGCCATCCGCACAAGCATTCTAGCGGTATATCCGGGACGGTCTGATGACAGATTCTCTCTTCACTCACCTCGCCTTTGAACCTAAATTTTGACATATCCACCGCTCTTTGGTTGAAGCTTGACGGGCCCATAGCCTCGGCACTGACAAGCCCGTAGTTCTCCGCCGTCTCCAGCGCCGTTTTGGTGCCGTGCCAACTGATACAGTCAGCCATGAGTGCCTCGGTCTGTGTCTAAGTTTCAACTCCTGGGATAAAGGACGACAACACGGGCCACGGTAAAGCAGGCTCGCCTGCATCCTACTGGACAGCACCACACACCATCAGCTGTTTCAGGCTGGCACCTGTGCTTTGAGCAAGGCAAAGAGTTGCAAGGCTGGCGGTAGAGCATTCCATGCCCTGTCGAAGTGCCGAGTGTCCTGTCGAAGTTCGAGGGGATCACAAGTGGCCAGACAACATATCCCGTTTTGGTCCTTCATGACCGTCCAGATAGAACTGGCTCCTCAGCTCAGGATCCCCCAGCACAGCACTGGCTGCAAGAAAGAGAAGCGTTCCGACTGCACAACGGTAGCAGGTAGATTTGGGACATTGACTGTGTCAGTCAGTGGAAGCCTTGGATACCTCTGCCAGCACCCAAGCCAGCCTTGCCTTCCATCATCCTTGTATACCGTATTCAGAGTACGTCGCAACCAAGTAAGTGTTGGTTGGGATTAGCTGCCCGAAACGAAACTGGGTAGGAGAACGATCCCAGTTCGTGATTGGCTCAGCTCTGCTTGCATCAGACGATGCTCTGAGATCTACCAAGCATCGGTTCAACACGTATATAATCACGTCGTTGATCATCCTTCGTTGGTCGATGTCATACTGGGAGCGGGTGACTTTCCTTTGCTTGCTGATTAAAACTCTCGGCTTTCTCCCACATGGGCAAGGCATGCAACAATCGGAAAGTTCTAATTGTCGAGTTGCGCCATCCAGGGCCGATCTGCCGGTGGTAGATCCGTGAGAGTATCAGGGATGCACACTGAGACATGTCCGATCGCCAAGCGCACTTCACCTCGCATGTCACACTTGCGTCTCGAGATCCGAGCAGGGCACATACTGGGAATGGACTTTGCTAGGACCCCAAGCCAAGAAGCTTCGGATGGACAGCTTGCGGACCTTCTTGGTGGCAGGGGATTGCGGAAGATTTGAAACAGAGTTCCTGCGACAAGGGCACAGTGCCACATGAATCAACGCATTTCCCCAGGCTGCAGACGCAGTCCTCCCTCTCCCCGGCCGCGAAGACGTCGAAGCCGTCGGAATCGCGCTGGGTCTATGCCGTGCCCTTTCGGCGGCAGCCTGAAAAGATCGACGATGGGTGAGGGGTGCGCGTGCCCTCTGCAGAGGCCCGTGCCGGCTCGATTGTGCCCTCTTCCTGGTAGTTCAACAGCCTCTCACAGAAGCGGCTTGAATATAGCTATATATCCCCTGTTGTCAGATCCTTTTCTGATGCAACGCTCCAAGGGAGGATCGGCAAGCCCGCCACCCTTCTCATGCAACGCGCCTGACGCCACTCCGCTTGGCACACAGCCGTGCGAGCAGGTGCATGTCGTTGACATCAGGCGGGCAAACCCACACAGCCCGTTCTTCAGGCATTGCCTCCCGATTTTGCATGGGATCTTTCTGCAGGCTGGCAAGACATGTTGTCTGGCTAAATGGATGGGTAGCCTGGGTTTGCACGGTCACAGTGATACATGCAGATACTAAGCTGAACTGGTCGCAGCCTCGTCCTGGTTGTCGATGTTCCTCAGCGACAAAGATCCGAAACAGACTTCGGAGTGCTATCTCTGAGGGATCACGCCAAGAGAAGTCAGAGACGTTACTGCCTACATGCATGCTCAACTGTTGATTTCTCTTCTCCTCTTCAGAAAGCAGTCGACCGTTGCTTGAATGAATGGAGCTGAGTCGCGACAACTTCCGGGTGTAGATTCGTCGGGTGGTATCTGCCACCTTCCTCACCTCGACTGCAAGCCGAGCGGTGGAGTCTGAGCAGTGCTATTGACCCCATGTGAGGTTCGGACCGACTCTGCCAGGGCATCATGAACCCTGGAATTATCGACTCCCTGGTCGTGCAAACGGTCGATGTCGAAGATGATCTGCAAGGACTCACAGAGCTCCTCCAGCCTTGGGCAGCTTTAGGGCATCCAAGGCTGGATACATGAAGCTTAAAACCCAGCTTGTGGGCTTCTCCTGGGCCGACGCACCATGAAGATTGGAAGACACGCAAAGACTTGCCGCAAAGAGGTCTCTGGTGACTCTAGCCCTTGACGTGTGCATAAGCATTCATGCAGCTTAACCAAGTCGTAAGATCACATGATATCATTACATGGCCCTGCAAAGGATGAGGAAGGAGACCCCAACACAGCGATGAAAGCAGGCCAAGCAGCAATCTTGGCAGCTGATTGTTCGGAATGCCGCATTTCTCTAGCGAGCTGACTTGCCAATCCACAAACTGCTGGAAGTTCACTGTCTCGTTGCTAGGCAGCTGCTTCCAATCCATTGCTAGGCAATCCGGCGAAGCAGACGGATGAATGCTCAGCGAGTTTCCCAAGATTTGAGAACACTCCTCGAGCTCTGCCCGCAGTATGAGCCCATCCTTATTGCGGTCGAAAACCTCAAACATAGGCCTCAAGAGCATCTCCACATCGAAGTGCTCTATCCATCCATCGTTTCCAACTGTTCGATCGGCTCGGCGATCTGTGATCCACGCCACAAACTCTCCTGTACACACACTTCCTAAATGGCAAAAAGCCATGTCCGCTCGGTGGTTTTGACAAAGACAAAAGCACTAGATGCCATCAAACTACAGGGCCAAGATTGGCTTACATGGAAAGAGGGGGCCGCATTGGCCAAGTCTCGAAAGTCTATCAGGCCATCCTGGTTTGTATCGATGACTGCAAGCAAGCGAGTAATGTCTCGCTGGGACATCGAAGATGACACTTTGTACCTCGGTGTCGGCTTCGTGCCGCGAACATTCGGGAATGCAAGCCTCAACGGACAAAGTGGATGCAGGTTTGCGAGGCCGTAGCGTCGACCTCAGCACTATCAGGTGGAAATGCTTTCCAAGATACATTATGGTTGCCAGCTCGTCCTTGTCGATTGTGCCACTACCGTCCTGAGGCTACGCCAAGGCTGCTATCCGAGACTTTTAGCAAGTGCAGAAACATTCGGTTTCGAGTCGTGTTGAGCATCCTACATCACACAGAACAGGTAGCAGTTTTCATGACACCATCTACATGCCACCTCATTCGCTGACCAAGTCTCGGCATCCCAATGTGTGAAGTGCTTCAGAATTTGGGCCTGCGCATCCTCCGCGACCGCTTGCGCCGTCGCCATGTGAAAACAATCCGTGGACACTTTATCACTTTATGCCACTGAGACTGTGCTGACGAAGCTCGGCTACTGGTGTCCTTCAATGGTGGGTCAGCAGGTTGGCTGGAGCTACTGGAAAGGGGTTGAGCCTGGTTTCGCCGAGTGGCTGGGACTGTCGGGTTGGAGGGTTGGGCTGTTTTGGCGGCTGCACACATGTTCTTAGAAACAGGGCCAAAATGGCTGCACGGGCGAAGGACTGATGGGATCCCCGAAGATGCTCTGAGTGAATCAGGCTCTAAGGCCTCGGGAATTTCAGAGGATCACACACACAATTTTGAGATGCTTACCCCGTCGGGGCAGAACGGTTTCAGGAAGAAGCCGACGGGGCGGTTGCCAAAGACAAAAAGACAAAGGATCTTCGAAGCTTGTCTAGCCTAGCCTCCTCTGCAGCTGCATCCTCCAGACCTGGGTCACGAAGACACGTGCAGTCGTAGTAGTGTTGTGGAACATGGATATACGAGAGCCACTGCACTTTACCGGTCAGAAGCATGCATCTGCAATGAGCAGCTCTCTCCGTCTTCGGTTCATGAGAGCGCCTCGCATACTTGCTTGATATGATTGGCTTGGTGTTATGCCACCATGGCCACGGGGGAAGTCTTGTCCCGTGCTTGCGATTCTTACACTACTCAAGGAACGGTGGTGCCTCTCATTCTTTTCCATCTTCGTTTCTCCGAGGGTGCACCCAGCCCAGGACGAATATCTAGAACTCGTCGCTAGCGAACGATATCTAAAGCAAAGCAGAGCCAAGTAGCGCGGAGCTTTGATAGATCCTTCGGACTGCAACATATGGAGCAGCGCCACTACCGGGACGTCATCCCCCGAGCCACGACCTGTCCTCCAGTCTGCCGGAGCACGCGACGCCCTAGTTCTGGGAGCTCGCCACCCGGCCCACGAGCCTTTGCATCAGCGTCTGAAACATTGCAGGCAGGCCCGGAAAAAGAAAGAACCACTCATCTCCTTGAACAGCTAAGCCGATGAGCTGAGAAACAGAAGTCCAGAAACGGTCCACTCCCCTCCCGACTCTCGAAGGTCTCATGTGCAAAACTGTGATGCCTGTAATGAATGCATGGGTCGCCTCCCGTAGGTCCACACCGTCGCCCGATCGCGAGGAGCGTCGGGATGAAAGGAGACCGGCCATCGACCGACGCACAGACCTCAGAACTTCGCGCCGCCAGGAAGGGGGTCTTCTTCAATGCAGAACAACGGCACAAACTAAAGCACGTTTTCAAGTTCTGCACTTGACCCAAAAAGTTGTCAAACGCCCAGCCCCCCTTCGATACATATCTAAAGATACTCAAAGCTCACCATGAAGCTGGATTGACGGCAGGAAGGGCAAGCTAGCTGCTCGGCGCAGCCGCGACGGTGCTGAGACAAGCGCTCGGCCACCTCGGTGCAGGGCAGGAAGACTTCGGACACGTCCGGGCATGATTCTGCGAACAGCATACGTTGACAACATCGAAAGAAGCCAAGAATTCTTGACCACCAGATCGGCCCAAACAATTCAGAGCCGCTTTAGATTCCTGCCGAGGAGCTGAGAGAAGAGGTGTGGCTCTTCTGCAGAGCGCTAAGTCCCCGGAGAGCTGGCACAATTGGTCGCAGTCTCTGCTGCTCCGCGTCTGACAGCTTGTCCATTTTGTCAACCAGGTCGGAGGCCACTTCGAGCCTGCTGTTCAAGTCCCCATTTCTTTTTCTGCTGCGAACAACTCAGCACCCGACCTTCTGCAAGGGATATCGTAGCGGTTCTTCCGCTGACCGGCTCAGTGGGTGCCACACTATGAGCAGACGAGCACTTGAGCCAGGTGGCTGTCACAGGCCAGGCACCGTCAAGCCGCATTAAAGGCATGTAGGTAAGCAATGTAGCAACAATGTCCATGCCGTGCCCCGCTGGCTGTTCACACACCATAGCAGCCTAGGAGGCTTCGCATAAATGCCATGTTGTTCCTGCAAACTCACTTGATCGCCTGATGACTACTGAAACAGTCGATCAGAGAAAAAAACTGTCGAGACTAGTCATGTAAAGTTGTCCATGACAGGATTTCCGAAGTATTTAGGGTGAGAAGAATGAAACATGGGTAGCAGCGCTAAGCCGCAGGCCATTCCAGCTTGACAGGTGAGTCTCATCTTCTGCTTACTACCCCAGCATAGACCCCGAACGAACAGACGAAGAGCCAGGAACTCCAGCAACCGGAACCGTTCCAGAGGCCAAGCCCAGCCCATGAGTCCAAAACGGGCACCACACTCTGGCAGAAGCGTGCTTGGAGTGCTTTGGTTGGCAGAGGATGCAAATATGTGCGTGCCTGTGGCCAGAGCACGATTTTTTGAGGCAGAAACTGTGGTGGGAGCACGATTTGCGCGAGGCGGAAACACAAAAGACGATGCATGGAACTGCGGCAGGAGCACAAGTTCCAATTTCCTTTCCAACGGCGGGAGTTAGGGATAACAGCGAGAAGCCCGCACAAGAGTCTGAGATTGTGGCTAGAACTTTAGCGAGTTTGAGCGATTTGAAAGCTGTGGCCGGAGCCCGAATCACCAAGTTCGGGAGCGCCAGAGCATGGGATGTTAAAACGAGTTCGGCCTGCCAAGCGGATGCGGCCTACGACTGTGGAAAGAACGCGACTTCGCTTCGCCACGGCCGGAGCCACGGCGCCTGGCGTGAACAGCGACCTAATCCCTTTGTCGTGACAGTTAGTGCTACCTGTACCACACTGTTTGGGGAACTCCAACACAATATTCCGTCGAACCCGATGCCCCCGTCACTCAAAAGAGTGTACGTATGCTGTGTTTGCACTGCACGGCGGTTTTTGCGGACTGCAGCGGTCAGTTTATCAGTACAGCGAAGGCACGTCTAATCTCACCAAGTACTCACCCGTCATATCCTTGTACAGGCCGGAGACCAGTGGCACGAGCACAGAGACGGCCGTGCCCAGAAGGATCAGCGCGCCGATGATGGTGGCCAGGAAGCTGATAGGGCTAAACTCTCTTTCCTTTGGCTTCGCCGGCTCCTCCTTCTCTGGGTAAGGCATCAAATTCTTCAAGGACCTTGCTCAGCCGCGAGGCAAACGGCACAAAAGCCACACAAATTCAATGTTAGCCTCGCAGTGCTGGTCTTAGCCAAGAAGCACTAAGCTGGTGATGCTCTGCTCCGTCTGGCGCCGAACGACCCTCAGTGCTCGAGACTCTTTGACACAAACCGCTGCTCACAAAACCCTCCTTGTCGGTGCAGTTGGGCAGCCAGCCCTGCTGCTCCTCGTCCCATCGGATCCTTGGCACCCAGACCGAACGAGACACGACCGAGCTTGCATACACGCTGATGACTCAAGATGCACCCACTCCCTGTTCGAGAAACACGATCGGGATTGTCGCTCGAACGACCCCACCACACACACCCACACACCCACACACCCACACACCCACACACACACACACATGTCTACTTCGGCCAGCAGCTTTCGATCTTGTGGGATGCAAGGAGCCGGACTCTTGAGCCAGGAACCCACTGAATGCTGATGGAAAGTCGTGAAACCCACGCCATCGCGTGTTAAGCGAGGCAGCCTGCACGTTAAGGATCCCGAACCTGAACTGAGATGAGCTTCAGTTCCACTGGCTCGCCATTCAGAGAGGTACGCTCCTTAGCCAGCAGGCTGCAAAGAGGAGCTAGTAGTGAGTCCACGTCCTGCTGCGATGCTTTTGTCACTCTATGTTCAATTTTGCACACAAAGCTGGTGTTCTGGAGCTTGTCTGGAGTGCGGACGACCGGTCAAGGTTGTGCGAGGCAGACTTCACCAAGACACAGTAAAGCCAGTGAGCATGGCTCGGCCACCAGCTTCGAAAGTTGGAGGCGAGGAAGCATCCTTCGGTTCTCAGCTTTACAACCTATACTCGGACGCTGCACAAGTCACCTCCGGGCCTAACCCGCCACCCACAGTGCACGTAAACTTGGCATGTAGCTTTGCCTGTGCCTCTAAACCACCATGCTCGAAACTTTGCTAGCACGGGCTACGTGCGCGTGATCCAGAACTTGTTTCAAATCACAAATTAAGCTGATTTAAGTCGCGGGCGTTCCAAGCTAACACCACCCCCGGTGATCCTACTTTTTCAAACAGCTGAGCATGATCAAGAACTGCATGTCGGATGGATCGGTGTCCGGTCATCGTGAGTCGGTCAGTAGTCGGTTGGGTGGCATCGGTATCCAGCAAGCATGCTGGAATGACCCTCGATATGACCGACCTCAAAGCATTGGATAGTAAGCTAATGTTTCTTTAATTCTTCATGTGCGTTTCTTCGATCAAGTCCGACTTGCACTCAGCTTAGACAGCTTCCCTTACACTCCATCATCTTTTGGGCCAGTACGGCAACAACAGCTCTAAGGGTGCAATTTGGGCGCCCACTTTCTGCAGGTACGTCAACAGAGCGTCCTCTCTTGGTATCACATTCCGATGGTGTGGTCTTCGTTGGGCAATGCACACCAAAGGAGTCATTGCCCCCCCCCCCAACCGCTTTTTTGACTTCATGGTCTGTTGGGTTCACGGCGGTACACACGTGGAGAGACACTCGTGCTTGCTCGCAGCTCTGTGCAACCCCATACGTGGCCGCAGCGGCTTCGTTTTCACTGTTGTTGCAAATCTGCAAATCCAAACGATTATGCCCCGATCATGTCCAGTTGGGAGCCGAACCTCGGAAGTTGCACGTAGACTTCTCAGACCTCTGGGTGAGTCTCGGCTGGGCTTCATCGCCACCTGCAGCAGCTCGCAACCCCAAGTCAGAACATCCGTGAAGAATCACTTGCTCCACGACGTGAAGCTGTGCAGCTTCGTCACAAAGTCGTCAGGCAGAACTTGCCGCGGCAGCAGGCACTGGCTGATGATGAAGAGTGCAATCCAGACCTTCGAAGTCTGAAGGCATTGCCCTAACTCCGGACTTCTGCCGCCTGTGGAAAAAACACCTAGCGTCAGGTAAGCTTCATCTCGCTTGCAGAGCAACAAATGCAATCAAATGTTACCAAGCAGACACGCAGCCGCTGGAGCAGCGGACGACCTGCTGCCAGACACCGCCATTGTTTCAAGACGCACGCCGTCTTGGAAAATTGTCTTGGGCCCATCTTCAGTTGTGCGGACATGAAAGCATTGACCAAGCACGGGACTGATGCCGCATGCTCAGCATTTCAAACGACCTCGTCATTGTCATGTGCAACGGGCCAGGGTTCGTCAGTTCGGTGGGGATGAAGCGGCGTTCGAAACTCAGCCAGCCAGCCTTGGCCGGCCTTAGCCTCGCTGCCTTGCCGCCTTCGGCTTCCCAGTTTCGAGCCCTGCAGCCTTCCAAAGCCCACAGCCCTCCACAT